TTGTGCCTTAATCGAAGATTAAAACGCGAAATTATACGAATCTCGAACTAAAATACCCGTATCGGCCAGTTTTAAGGAATACCAAGTCATTCCAAGCACGCCGCCTCAAATTGCCTATCCTCTTTGTGGTGGCCATATTTATAAATAAATTGTTTAAAATTACAACTTGTGGCGCGATTGTTGACATTGACTGTTGCCTGTGGACAACATTGCCGGGGTACCGTTTGGAGATTGTGCATCTATTGTTTACAAGTATAATATCATTGTGTTCAGCGTTCAACATTCAGCGACTGCTTCTCATAGACCGACTCATGAAAAAATATCTGATAATCCCGCCTTCACTACAGAACATTTTTTAGAAATTTCATCTCTAAATGATTTTATTAACTCCACCCTGGGAGAACTACGAGAAAAGACTCGGACTTACCTTACAACTAAAAAATGATTTGACAACTACAACAAACACAAGATGTTAACTCAAGATCTGGCAATTTGCCTTAAAAATTAAATTTCATTCCGAAGATTGGCTTTGAAAAAAAAATTTTTTTTGAAAAATTGAAATCTGATATTTGGCAAATGGCAGTATGGCTTAGATGTCTTAGCCTGACTGGAGGATGACACAAAATAGAAAGGGACGAAAAATTGTACGAGTTTACGTTGAGATCTTGAGATCACAAATTAGAAAGATATTTGAGATTGGAGTTTTTTTAACGTTTCATTAAAACGATAATGTAATTCTCCGTTCTAAATATCTACGAAAATTACGTCACCTTCGCTGAAGCACAAAATGGAAATAACAAGAAAGAATTTTGCCGCCCAGTTTGATAACATTACGAGGGATTTGAAAAAGTCGTGTTTTGTTGGTTTTGATGCCGAGTTCACCGCTATACTGTCTGGAGATTGCTTTAAATACAGGTAAGTTTATCATAATTATTGTGGGTCACTTGTAAGTACTACAACTTTCAGTGTCTTTCACAAAGAGCTCTACTGCTATTATGTTTACCATTTGGTAAAACTATTTATGAACATATGAACATACATATATTGGTGCCATTTTATTTTCAGGTTATTTGATACGAATGAAGAGCGGTATAATCAAATAAAAAATGATGTAGGCCAAATGATCATGACCCAGGTTGGGTTAACCATGTTCCAGTATGAAAGAGACTTGGATACGTATGTGGCTAAAGGATACACCTTTCATCTTGGTCCACAAGTGTTTGGAGACATTGACCAGTCTTTCATATTTCAAGCATCTACTCTCAAGTTTTTGTGTAGGCATAATTTCGATTTCAATAAGGTGATTGTTTCCTTTTCCTATGTATTTAATTAATTCAAAAACTGTTTATTTTATAACTTTATCAATTGCAGAATCTTATATTAGGGAAATACTAAGTCACAAATAAATAATAGACTCTTTCACTCTGTCTAATACTTCCTATATTGTTTAAGACTTTATATAGGTCATTCTCTCGCAAAATTCCAGTTCACCTATGAAGGTCTACCTTACCTGAACAAAGAAGAAGAGATTAGAGTGAGACATTTACTCAAAGAAAATTCCCAGTTCAATAATCTGGCTTCCACCCTTGATATGGCAGATGAGAAAATGCTGCAACAACATTGTTCTGAAGTTTCGAAGTAAGTATTCTACCAGTCTACAACCTTGCGTCTAGAAGATCACATTGGCCTGCTAGTCAATTTTCTTTTGAATACATTTCGGAGAGTATGATGTGGTGGAGTACACTGGGACTTTTTATAGTTTCAGCCTCACCATTCCTACTTCGGAGATGTAGAAAGTCCAATTTTTTGTTGATATAATGTTGATTTACTTCTTCTTTTCTAATGTGCACAGCAAAAAATGGAATACACAACCGGTATCTCTGTTTCTGGAAAAATACAATTAGGGATATTCAAGGCTACAGTGAATAGGCATTTTTTAGAGTTACAGTCTCTACTCTTAGTAGAGTAGATAAATACATACCTTCATAGGTCACATAACATCAGGTGAGATAGTGTCAAAGGATGTGTCTATTTCTTAGATTTAAAAAAGCAACCATTTTAGCAACCATTGAATTTCTACACCCTTGACTTTGACGACCTCCATGGTTGAGTAGCTTGCACACTAGTTTTCATAGTGTTTCCATCTCTTAAGTTCCGGGTTCGATACCTGGTCAGGTCAATGTAGAAAAGTAACTGTTGTACCGTCGTTTCCGATTTCCATTACACAAGTCGTCAACAAAATTCAAAGATCTCGTAACCTCAATGTGAACATTTGAATAGGCCCAAAAACACTACTACTAGAAATAAATTATATGACAATCTATGAATATACCTTTTTATTATAACAAAAAAGGCTCTACGAATTTTAATTGACCGATATCATGCTTGAAGAGCAAAAAAGGATTGTCATCCAGAAACAGACTTACAAGGTTTTCAAATTTAGTTGACGAAGTGCTGTAGTTTACATTTTTACTTACTTTGGGACATAGCTAATCATCTAATATTCGACGCATTTCCAATTGTGGTTACACTGAGACTTCACTAAATATATGTTTATCAGTCTCAGTATTGTTCCTCCGTTATAAAAGACACTATGAAATAATAACATGATAATAAAAATACTAAATTGTTACATTTCAGATGGTTATGCATAGGTGATGATGGTACCATGTATTTAGATGTGGAGAGTCCAACATTAAGGTACATTGTTCACAATGAAGTGAGAATCCGGTTTCCCGGTGTACTTACTACAGATAGCCTAGGTAATAGCCACAAGGTAATGATAGCTAGGTAATTTGATTATTATTGCACATTATTGCTGAATTTTGGAGTGAAAGACTTCAATGATGTTGAGTTTTTGTTGCAACCTTAAGTCTTAGTACTTATTATGAAAACAAAAGCAACATTGCATATATGATAGTATGTTTTACAACTTTTTAGTACTTTTTAAACTAAGTTAATAATTTTTTAAACTGTACCGTATATTAAATATAGAATGATTACGTCAAGGCTGTATCCAGAAATCAAGTAGTGTATTTCCCACTAAATGTCAACAGCACATATTAACATGGGCGTACCTAGAGGATCAATTAATTATAGTTCCATGTCGATATTTATGACTTCCCTAGTGTCATATACAGATATTGTGTAGATTTTGTGTATAGTACTTGTTACTTTATTTTTATAAATAATGTTAATTAAGTAAAGGGTAATTTGAAAAATAGTGATGACACTTCAATTATGGCTACCTAGCTGAATAAAACTGTGTGACTCTAGTGGAGTGTTTAATTAGTTTTCACGGACATATTACCCAGGGTATATTATAGAACGTTTATTTATTTATTGAGGCCATACTTAAACTATAATTACAGATTATTACTCAGTGCGATAGTCTAAACTCTAGACAATATGATTATTATTTACAAGTAGATAATTATTATTTATCTAACTTATAACTACAGATAAATAAGCAACCTTTGCGAATTCACTCAGAGGACACGTAAATATGTCCACCTCATTATCAATCAAGTTCATGATCCGTGTTACGCACGTGAGCGGCACTTGTCCTTAACATGTTGGTGCGCACATATGGCACCACCAGCAGCTGCGGCCGTTGCCTTCGTTCCACATACCTGTTTAGCACACTAAAATTTGTGTGCATTTTCATTTTGTCCCCTTAGGAATTTAAAAATATATGTTACTAATGCTACATTTCTACTGACTTCGAGTTTATTGTCACCTAGCATGCCTTATATAAATAATGTCGGGTACATTCTTGGGTAGACTGGATATACCCCGTACTGTCTTAAATACATATATCTTATAAATTTATTCTGTATCTTTTCAAACATAAGGTTATACTTTTTCTCGTGAATCGCCCAAACTATTGTATTGCACTCGAACTGGCTTCTCACCAGGGCGTTATATAACTATGATCGTTTTAATATTCGGGAAACGATGCAGTTAAATGAACTCCCAAATCCTTCACCTAATTCACCCTTGCCATGGTTATCCCCTCTACCTTGTAAGTTGTAATCGTGCACCCAGCGCGCGAGATAAAGTTATAGCTGCCTATTTGGCGGTATTAAATTGTAACCTATTCTCATGGTTCCAAACTACCACTCTGTGGATGTCTCTGTGGAACATATCGCAATCATCCTGGTCTTGTACTGCCAGATACAAAGAACAAGCACTTGGCATCTTGTACCTGCTTCGGCAAGTCTTTTATGACTAACAGGAATTCCAAAGGTCCAAGATTACTGCCTAGACTTACGCCGGATCTAGTGTTTATTTGTAATCTACATACTGCTGACGTGTAGCCCTCATGTAGCTGGCAAACAGCTTCAACAGATGTGAGGTGAATCCCACACTGGCTAGCTTTTGTACAAGTCATTAATGACAAAATCAAAAGCTTTTTGAACATGATGTAGTATTGTTTGCTAATCACTTCCTTATTAATTAAGTTAAGACACGTGGATAGATTAGTGGTTTACATACTTCTAAATAAAAAAGAAACACATTGTGTGAAATTTACATTACTTGTAAATTTACATTAATGTTAGACAGATTGTCACAAACATCATAGTTAGAAACTTAGAATGTTAGAAACGAAAAAATAGACTTTGTAGATACTGCAATTTTTGAGTAGAACTTTAATTGCTACATTTTGATTGGGCCTACAATTATGTAAGTTTTATTTTATTTATTTGCTTATTATATTTAAAGCACTAAGGGACAAAACATTCCAGTACTTAAAACATAAACTTAGCTAAGTTTTCCGTATACCGCTCATTCGTCGTACAAAAATTTTTGAGTTTTGACAATCCTCTTGGTGCGCATGAGAGTCGTTAATAAAGGGTGTCGTGTCACTAAACCTTAATCCTTGTATGTACATCCCACCGCTGAACAGTCAGAGTCTCTTCTAATAATAATAAATGATCGTGAACAGTATTTTAATGTTAAATTTAAAACTAGTGCCTACGTACGTTATTAGTTAAAATTAGATACGTATAATAGTTATTTATTTCATACTAGTATAATTTTTTTATTTTTTCCGAATAGTATTTTTTTTTACTTTAGGTTTCATTAAATTTTTATTGAATTGATATTCAATTACTTTTTTGAAATTAATCCACTAGTTTGTTATAATTATTAATACAAAGATCAAGATTTAGGTTTCATGTTTTTACAATTTATATATTTTTATTTCTTTAGTAATTTAGTTTATAAGGTAAGATATATTTTAATCTATTCTTGCCATCAACATTTCGATGAGAAGGTATCAACAATTTATTATTGTAGACTTAGAATAATAACGCATAGAATGATAGTTTCATACCAAACGAACTGTCACAAGCGAGGCAAAAATCAAATTCATGTAGGCGTAAGCAACTTGTATCTACGCTCGTCGGCACGCACACCAATATACAAATAATGATGCCATGGAATAACATTTCCCTCAAAAGTGGGGAAATTGTATCTTGCTTAACTCATCATTAAGTTAAGAGTGCCTACAGATTTGCCCGACATTGTCGATCAGGTGCCTACAGATTTGCTCGATTTTGTCGATCGTTACTGTCGATCGACAATGTCGATCAGGTGCCTACAGATATGCTCGGTTTTGTCGATCGTTAATGTCGATCGACAATGTCAAGTGACACGAATTTCCAAAAATTTATTTTTGGTAATCCTTATGGAAATGGCATTTATATCTGAATACACGATGACGGACACGACCTTCCAAATAAATGCACTATGGGAATCATTTTCCAGGTATTCGAGGAGCTCATTACGAATATGCCACTCATTTCTAAATCCAAGTTGGCGGGCACGATTTTTCGAATAATGGCAAGTTGGGTATCCTTTTCAAGGTATTTGGGGGTGCTCATTACGAATATAGCATTTATTTCTAAATCCAAGATGGCGGATACGAGTTTTCAAATAAATGCAATATGGGAATCATTTTCGAGGTATTTAGACGTGCTCATTACAAATAT